CCAGCAATCTTGATTCCAGTCTGTGCTTCATCTAGCCCAGCGTTTTTCACGATGTGTTCTGGATATAAATTAAACAACCAAGATGACAATATACAGCTTTGTCCTTCTTTCCCAATTCTGAACCAGTCCATTGTTCCATGTCTGGTTCTAACTGTTGCTTCTTGACGTGCATACAGGTTTCCCAGGAGACAGCTAAGTTGGTCTGGTATTCCCATCTCTTTAAGAATTTCCCACAGTTTGTTGTGATCCATACACTCAAGGTGTTTAGCCAGTGAAGCAGAAGTAGATGCTTTTGTGGAATTCCCTTGCTTCCTCCATTATCCACCGAATGTTGCCAACTGTTGGCTCCTCTGCCTTTTCGAAATGCAGCCTGTACATCTGGAAGTTCTTGGTTCATGCACTGCTGGAGCCTAGCTTGAAGGATTCTGAGCATAACCTTACTAGCATGTGAAATGAGTGCAACTGTATGGTAGTTTGAACATTCTTTGGCATTATCTTTCTTTGGGATTGGAATGAAAACCTTTTCCAGTTCTGTGGCCACTGCTGAGTTTTCCAAATTTGTTGACATACTGAGTGCAGCACCTTAACAGCATCATCTTTTAGGATTTGAAATAGCTCAGCTGGAATTTTATCACCTCCACTAGCTTTGTTGGTNACTGTTTCCATTGTTTCCCCATCTATTTGTCATGAAGTGATGGGACCAGATGCCATGATCTCAGTTTTCTGAATGTTGAGTTTTAAGAGGACTTTTACACTCTCCTCTTTCACTTTCATCAAGAGGCTCTTTAGTTCTTCTTCACTTTCTGCCATAAGGGTGGTGTCATCTTCATAGCTGAGGTTCTTGTTCTTCTAACTATAGAATTGAATAAATGTGGAATCCTCTTTACTGTTTTTTTCCTCCATGTCTCTGTATTTTCTGTTTTCATTACAGAGAGTCTTTACTCTTCTTAATGGAAGAAATTATACACAAACCACACTAATTTTTGAACGAAGTGCATTTTAACACTGCCTGAATTCTGAGGGAAACAAAATTCACATCTACAGGAACAAAATTTTGTGTTTTGGGCGACTGCTGATTTTGTTCACAATGAAATTCCAAACGATGCATAAATAAAAGGAAAGCAATTGATATATAAATATGATATCAGTAGAGACTGCAATCAAATTAAAAACAGAAGGGGAACATTAAATCAAAGACTAAATTATGAAAAAGTTTGCTTAATGTAGTAGAAGATTAATGGAAAAGTAACTTATAAAATCAGAGGTGATGGGCAAAAGACTAAGACAAATGATAAAAAGCATGAAGGATATAGGAATTAGGTCCAATCTGCATATACTGTGGAGGACAGATAAAGAAGGAACAAAAAAAAAAGATTGCATAAACCTTCCTTGAGGTGGAATAAGATCTAAGCATAGCAATCAAAGATAAATATATAAATGGTAACGACAAGGAAGGGGCTTCCCAGGTGGCTCAGTGGTAAAGAATCTCCATGCCAGTGCGGGATTCCACCCTAGGACTGGGAAGATCTCCTGGAGGAGGAAATGGCAACCAGTATTTTTGCCTGGGAAATCCCATGGACAGAGGAGCCTGGCAGGCTACAGTCCATGGCTTTGCAAAAGAGTTGGACATGACTCGATGACTAAAGAACAACAACAACAATAATATCAAGGAAAATGAGAGGAAAAAGGTCAATAAGTCACATGCAACAAAACACAAACACAATCAAGACAGATTTCTCCCAAAGGAACAGAATTCATAAAATTCACACACAAACTTTGGTGACTGCAGCCATGAAATTAAAAGATCCTTGCTCCTTGGAAGAAAAGCTCTGACAAACCCAGACAGCATATTAAAAAGCAGAGACATTACTTTGCCAGCAAAGATCTGTCTGGTCAAAGCTATGGTTTTTCCAGTAGTCATGTATGGATGTGAGAGATGGACTGAGCACCAAAGAATTCATGCTTCTGAATCGTGGTGTTGGAGAAGACCCTTGAAAGTCTCTTGGACTGCAAGGAGATCCAACCAGTCAATCTTAAAGGAAATCTTAAAGGAAATCCTGAATATTCATTGGAAGGACTGATGGTGAAGCTGAAACTCCAATACTTTGGCTACCTGATGTGAAGAACTGACTCATTGGAAAAGACCCTGATGCTGGGAAAGATTGAAGGTGGGAGGAGCAGGGGACAACAGAGGGTGAGATGGTTGGATGGCGTCACTGACTCAATGGACATGAGTTTGAGTAAGCTCAAACTTGGTTTGAGCTTGGTGTTGGACAGGGAGGCCTGGCATTCTGCAGCCCATGGAGTCGCAAAAAGTCGGACACGACTGAGCGACGGGACTGAACACACAAACTAGCAGAAGTTTTTAAAGCACTTTAGCCTTTTGGGGGGAACTATTATGAGCTCATACATTTATACCTGGTTAAATTTGTCTTGTTCACAAAAAAAAGAATCATTCTCCAGTATGAAAAATGAAGCATAACCCTCACGTTTCTTTAGCTTACAAATTATTAAATATGTAAATCAATTAACAGAGATGAAAAAGTAAGAATTAAATTATGAATGAGTTGTGAAACTGAATAAATGGTACTGAACAACAAATCATCTGAACATGAATTAAAACATAATTGTTGGCATATTTATAAAACCATGCAAATATGATTAATCTTTTAAAGATATTGTGAAGGAAAACCTCTGCCCAAAATTCAAGATTATATAAACAAATGAAACAGTGGTAAAGGTTACATAAAAGTATGCCACACTGTCATCTCACACAGATGGAACTGAGTGAGTAGAGATGAAATGACCCACATTTGTTCCTAACCCTGTTAATTAAAAAAAAAAAAATAGTTCAGACATGAGGGCTTCTTTTTCTTTTAATCACCATCAGAATAAAGCAGAATAAGTATATTTCAAATCACTAAAGAAAGAAAAATGTCCCCACAATATGTGGAGGAAATAGCAAAAACACAGATATCTACAGGCTAAATTATTATGCAGATATTACACATCATTCTGCTTTAGGATATTTAATGATTGGAGGAAAGGCTCATAACATTAAGGTACAGAGCTATTAATACAATTCAATGTCAACCTTATGAAAATAAACCACAGGTGTACAGAAAACAAACAACACCAACTGATTTATTGGTTCCTCAGTATAGAGGGATTATAAGGAATTTTTCTTCTTTATTGCATTTCTGTCTATATATATTTTTGCATTTATAAATATATTTATTTCTGTACATATAATCAAAATAAAAATATGTCACCTCTATTTGTCTTTGCCTAGTATTAGGTCACATCAGTTACTATATGTTACTTCATGTTGATATTTAGGTAGAATACACTATACAATAATTAAAAAGTGATGACAACAGACATATTTTCAAAATGGACACTTTCCTATATATTTCATAAACCTGGAAGGGCAGATAGTTTTCTTATGTGAAAACTAACAACAGATGTAAGCTCCTTGATACACCTAAAGCAAAACATGCAGAGACCATGGTACTGTGTGCCCAGAAGATTAAAAATGGCTACGATTCCAAGACACACCATCTATGCCCATGTCTCTTGATTCTGGGTGGGCTCTTTGACTATTTTGATGAATAGAATACAGTGGGAGACTCCGTGAGCCTTTTACCACGGCCCCTTTCTTGGAACACTTTGCTTTTGGATTCCAGTCACCATGCTACAAGAAGCTAAACCGCACAAAGGAGACACTTCAATTGATAGTCCCGCTGAGCCCTGCTTAGTCCTGAGATGATACCTGCATCAATTGCTAGTCATCTAAAGTCCAACCATTTTGAGCCTCCAACCTAATGGAGCCTTTAAAAACATAAACTCCACCCACCATCCGACTACAGAGGCACAGGAGACTCCAGCAGGAGCTGCCCAGTGGAGCCCCAAAGGATGGTGAGAGAGAAGTTGTTTAAGTCAGTTCATTTTGGAGTGGTTTATTCTGCAGCAGTAGATAATTGCAACAATATAAGTAGATACTGGTGTGTGTGTGTGAGAGAGAGAGAGAAGTACAGAAAGCGAAGTCTCTCAGTTGGGTCTGACTCTGAGATCCCATGGACTGTAGCTTGCCAGGCTCCTCCATCCACGGGATTTTCCAGGCAAGAATACTGGAGTTGGTTGCCATCTCCTTCTCCAGGGGATCCTCCCAATCCAGGGGTCAAACCCGGGTCTCTTGTACTGCAGGCAGACTCTACCGACCGAGCCGCCAGAGACGCCAAACAACACTGGAGTGGGTAGTCATTCACTTCTCCCAACCCAGGGACTGAACCCAGGTCTCCCGCATTGCAGGCGATTCTTTACCAGCTGAGCCGCCGGGAAGCCTGAGGATACTCGAGTGGGTAGCCCATCTCTTCTCCAGCAGATCTTCCCAACCCAGGAATCGAACCGGGGTCTCCTGCATTGCAGGCAGATTCTTTAGAAGCTGAGCTACCAGGGAAGCCCATAATACACATAGATTACATTTAAATCCAGTAAGTCTTGGCAAGAATGATAATAGGGTCCTTTGTTATAAACAGTTCTTCCTTCAGATACATCAAAATCATCCCTTCAGGTATTGGAAAACAAAAATATTAGTAATACTTCATTTTCAAAAAAGAAATGTTACACAGGCTAAATTCATTAGTAATCAAAGATAAATTAAAATTAAATATCAGGTTCAGAAACACAAAAAATTAAACCGAAGGGCAACTCTAAGTATACTTACTGAGTGTTTATTATGTATACAATTCTCTTTGGTTTTACTGTTTTTCTTTCACAGCAACTCATCAGCTTCTGAAAACTATAAAACTAAATGTTGTATGTTTCTGTTTACGTAAGTTATGTTGGTGATACAGCACCTCTGTTAGGACGCAAGTATATTTAAAAAGCATTATCAAGATAGTCTCAATTATGTTCAGAATTACCAAATGAACCATATTGTACTTCATGCACAGTGCACAACTGATGAATATGCAAAATAACAGGAAAATGAAACTAACCTGGGCCATTCAAATACTGTGTAAGAGAACAGTGTAATCGGACAATTATAGGTTCTGTTCGAATTACTTCCCATGCCACAGCAATCTCCTCCTGTGCAAATATTTGAAAGATGAATTAGTCATCTTTTAGAATTCTTGATTTTTTTCCAAAATAAAAAATATATATGCTTTTAAAACTTATTTTGAAGAAGTGTTTATCATTAAGGCCTACAAATTATCTCAAATACTTACAGGTCTATGAAATGAAAGTCAAAGTACTTTTAATTTTTGTCTTCATTTGAAAATTCAAATGAAAACTTAACAAATAAGGACATACTATACTACTGATACAAACCCATAATTTTAAGGAAATATTAAAAGAACTGATGGAGAAAACATATGCAAAATCTCTGCTTTTTCAAGAGTCATAGCATTTCTTCATAAATCACTTTAACAAAGTCATTATGTTTCTAATAGTATTATAAGAGAAACTAAAATTAAATCTCTTCCAAGAATAAAAGTGTTTTATAAATGCAGCAATCATTTAACATAAGTCGATACTTACATCAAGAAAGCTAACATCAATATGCAGATCAATATCTACATCATCAATGGCTCCGTATTCCCTGAAAGCAAAGATTAACATTATTGTTTCATTTTCTTTAAAAGACAGTGTGTTCCAGGTTATTTTAAATTAAAATTTAGTCATGAATTCTCATCCCTGATGTTCACAGATAGTTCAGAAATGACTGTGGACATAAATTAACTAACTCAACTTAGTTGGATTTTGGTCTCGTGTGACCTCTTTATACCATATACATACCTTTCCATCTTATGTACAGGCAAATACATACATGAACTCAAGAGTTATTTGGTTCATAGTTTCAAATACCCCCGGTTCTATTTAACAAATTGAACGATCTTCTCATGTGATCACTTGGTGTTCACGGTGCTCTCAAGATTCAGAGCTGCCTCTAAGCGCAAGAAAGGAGTCTCTGACATGAGGAAGGGGTGGAGGGATCACTGATTTCCACAATAATATGCCCATAAATTTTCCTGCCACGTTAGAACATCAGTAGTTCTGAAACTTATCCAGGTGTTCTGCCACTTAAATATCACTGATGTTTTGATAGGCAGTTTTACATGTCTGATGTATCCAAGTTAAAACAAGTAACAACAGTATATTCCACACAAACAGGCATATTTTTTAAGATAACTAGAAGGCATGAAAGAGTAGCTTTTGTATTCCCCATACACACACATCTCTGTTTTTGATATTTTTATAAAATTCTGAAGTTACCAATGCTAATTATAGTGAGGGAAAAAACTATGATAACAGAAATTGTAAAAATTTATGGCCAATATTTATTGAGCATTTACCTGCCAGAAAGCATTCTAAGGATTTACCTGCATGTGATCATAATGCACAATAGGTACTACTTGCTGTTTAGTCACTAAATCGTGTCCAACTCTTTTGCGACCCCATGGACTGTAGCCCACTAGGCTTCTCTGTCCATGGGATTTCCCAGGCAAGAATACTGGAGTGGGTTGCCATCTCGTCCTCCAGAGGATCTTCCCAACCCAGGGATCAAAACCATGTCTCCTGCATTGGCAGGTGATTTCTTTACTACTGAGACACCAGGGTGTCTATTACCAATTTACACGTCCATTAACTGAGGCTCAGAGTAATAAAGTAACTCACCCATCATTGCTTTGTAGCAGAGCCAGGATCTGAATATATGCATCCTATTTAAATATTTATGCAGGTGCTTAGCTCTTTATTCAATAAACTATCACTCTGTGTTGGAAACCAGGTCAAACAATGATGGATGATCTCACTAAGTCCTCATCATAAACTTCTGACAGAGATAATATAATTATCCTCATTCGCAAATGAAGAAACTGAGGTTCAGGGAAGTGGAACAAGTTGCAAGAGGGCAGAAAAGCTGGTGGAAATTCAGACACAAGATTCACACTCAACCTCAGAACTGTCAAGTGCAGTATCTGGCACACAGTAAGTACTCAATGAACAGTTCCGTGTATGATAATATTCAAATAATGCTAATGCAGTACAAAACTATGGCACTTTTATAGGGTTCAGAGGATGCACTTTTATAATGATTAAATAGCTTTGTGTAATTTGAAGAATAAAGAATGCAGAAGGTCCTTTTACTTTTTTATATCAATGATCAAAATATGCAGCATGTTAGAAACTAATAACTCAGCCTCTATGTTTCCTCCATTCTCTCCTTAGAAATATATCAAAACACTGAGCACATTTTCATTATTTATGAATTTACACTTTCTATTTTTTAATGGTCATTTCTAAAGGTTACATAAAGAAGAAAATGGATAAAATTATTCACAAATGAATTAACTTTTAAATTGTATGCTTCAAAACATCAGTGTTATAGAAAATAGATAAAATAATTCATGTAGGAATTAATTCTTTAATTACATGCTTCAAAACATCTGTGTTAATCATAAAGGATAAAAATTTTTATAATCTTGTCAAATTTAGACCTAATATGCAAATTTAGATATTAACATATGCCAATTTGGTTATGAAATTAACAGAAACTAAGACAAGAATAAGGATCAAGAACAAGGAACCATTGCTTTTATGAGTCTAGCTCAGGGTTCAGAAAACTTTTCCTGTAAAGGTCAAAATAGTAAACCTGTTAGTTTTTACAGGCCACATAGTCTCTTTCACATATTTCTCTTTATTTTGGGGCCATTTTTTTTTTACAACCCTTTAAGAAAAGCAAACACCATGAACTATTCAAAACAGATCCCACGGCCCACTGGTCATAATTTGCTGACCCTGGACATCAGCATACTATTCATAAATACAAGAAGTCAAATATCTAAAGTCAGACACGTCAAAAGGGAACCATTAAATACAATGATGAAGATGGATCACTAATGATGTTCAAATGACATTTTGGTGAGGGAAAGAGACCATTCCCATAAAGTTATAACAAATACGTACACAGTAGAAATTAGGAAAAAATGAATATTGAATAATAAGGAAATACTTAAACTATGGCATGATGATATAATTTTTTAAAATTATCCATTACTAAAAATGTTGATATAAAAATATTTAGTATCATGAGGGAAATGTTCCAAATATAAACTGCTCACTGAGCAAGTAGAGTACCAAAACATTATGGAGAGCAAAATACTTTTTTTAAAATAAAATAGAAATAGGAAAACCAAAAAAGTAGGAAGAGGACTTGTATATCACATATAGGTTGTGGGTAACACTTATTTTATAAAAAAAAAGCTACAGTATTTTCTAAAAAAAAATCTACTTTTTCTTATTACAAGGGCAATATAGACTCATATAAAATGTGAGAAAGAGAAAAACAGACAATAAATAACTTGTAATAAAATTTAGTACCACTCAGACACAATAGTTTTTCTTTACATTCATTCCAGTCTCCTTCATATATTAATATATCATTATAACACATATTATTAAGGATAATAGGTATGCAAAAATTTTTGTCCTGCTCTTCCACTTTTTCCATAACTATTTTTTTACCTTGTGGAATATTTTTTAAAACCATAAATTTAAATCTATAAATTTATATGAATAAAATTATATAATACAACATTAGGGTGCTCTCAATTTTTTTACATTATTAATATTGATAAATGGCCCTGTGGATAGAAATCTACGTACAGCTGTCTTCTCAGACATAAATTCTAGAAATAGTAATTGAAATAAATAGCATAACTATATTTGGTAATCCTAATATATACTGTTTAGTTACTATTTTTAAAATGTTAAAACAACTTATATTCACACCAGCCAGGTTCTCACAGTGACCATTTCCCACATCCTCATCATCACCACGCATTTTTTTCTTCCATCTTTGCCAATTCCAGAGGGGAGAATAACTCTGGATTTACTTATGATGGCAAGACTTTGGTATATTTAGAAGCAGAGAAAAAGGCAGCAGAGAGAACAAAAGTCACTACAAACCTTATCCCAGCTGTTTTCTTCATAAATAGATTTCTAGACCACTTCAGCAGAATAAATCATAGAGTTATGATTAGAATGTGACATATGTTCTTTATAAAACCTTTAATATGTGAATTTTAAAGTATTCTTTATATAATTTTTCAACACTTCTGTTTTAGTTAAAGAGCTTCCTGGGTAGCTCAAATGGTAAAGAATCTACCTACAGTGTGGGAAACCTGGGTTTGATCTGCGGGTCAGGAAGATCCCCTGGAGAAGGACATGGCAACCCACTCCAGTATTCTTCACTGGAGAATCCCATGGACAGAGGAACCTGGCAGGCTACAGTCCACGGGATCACAAAGAGTCAGACACGACTAAGCGACTCACTTTCACTTTCTTTCACTTTTTTTAGTTAAAAGTATCTTTAATTTCTAATACTATCAATTTATTTAAAAAAAAAATCAGGAACGAAAGGGTTACGAGTGCAGTCTTTCACCAGAGCAGAGCAGGAGTACAGAATTTTAAGGAAGCAGAGGCATTAAAGGTTTGCAATTAACTGGATTCTGCAGGTGTAGATCTGTAAATAGTTATACCTTTTGCTTTTATGCCACACTTCAAAGAACTCACAACAACACTGTGTGTATGCAAACCAATTTCTGTTGTGATGCCCTTTTTATATAATGCCATTCATTTCACGTTTCCCACTGCGAGATTACAAAGCGTGATTACAGTCTGCCCAGATGCAACGACTCAGTCTCAGGACTGCTTCTGTATCTGAATATCTTTCAGTAGCCCCAATCTCATGAAAAGCAAATGCAGAATCAAGGCAAATGCTTGAAATATGAATGCAACTTGAAGTGTGAAGCCTGATATCTGATTGTATACTGAATGCTCTGTTGGGTTTATAATAATCCAAAATAATTCTGTGCCCTGTCTGCATTTATTCACTGTGAAAAGATCACATTAAATTGAACTTGAATACTTTTTTAAGAGAAGGGAAGCGACACAAATCTGATGCAGTTGTTTCACTGAGGGACTGAGGTCTTGAGAAGAACTGCTCCACAAATTTATTTCCAGACATCTGAGTTAAATCTTTGAATAGACAGATCTTGAAATCCAGCCATTTGATTTTGAATATTTACATGTGATCTAGTTCATATGTATAAAGAACACACGTATGAAATATATGCTTTCTATAAACAGGCATTTTTTAGGGCACTATGTGTTAGAACTCTTAGCAATTCATTCTCCCATTTTTTAATGGAGTTTATCAAGAAAATTAGAGATACCAAGGGAACATTTCATGCAAAAATGGGCTCAATAAAGGACAGAAATGGTATGGACCTAACAGAAGCAGAAGATATTAAAAAGAGGTGGCAAGAATACACAGAAGAATTGTACAAAAAAGATCTTCACGAGCCAGATAATCACAATGGTGTGATCACTCACCTAGAGCCAGACATCCTGGAATGTGAAGTCAAGTGGGCCTTAGAAAGCATCACTACGAACAAAGCTAGTGGA